AATGCAAATGCACAATGCAAAAAGTAAAGCACCCAATGATATAACAAGGCTGAGGTAAAAGCACAAAGGTGAAGAGCACAACCTGCATAAGTAGGCTTGGGCCAACTGAGGCTAGCAACTTCAGACTTAATTGTCCATTCCCACTTCTCTTTAAGCTTATTTATTAAAGTATGTGGAAAAGTGCGCCAAAGTGAGCTTACAAATATGTAGATCTGAAGCCAGTTTGAAGCCCACATGAACAGCAGCAATGTCTCCATACGCTAAGGGAACTAAAGAAAAGATGGAACGCACATATTGCATATTGCATAATGCGTTGCATGAAGCCACTTTTGGGGTATTATTACCATGACCAGTTGTGGACATGAGTGATGGCCAGAACAGTCCCCCAACTCCAAATACACTTTCCGTACAGGAGAAAACTCCAGGTCCAGTAGTAGTTTTTAGAAGGACCGGTGGCGTTGCGATCAAGTATCATTTCAATTGCAGTAAAACGACACCGCCGATACATTTGGCTCGTAGGTATTATTCTTACGCTGCGGAAGATTAACTATGGGGATACCCCCATTTTAAGGTGACACAGAGAAGTGAAGGCATGCCTGAAGATTGTGTAGGCGCCTGCAACCCATGTAATACTTGCTTGTCAAATTTATGGGTGTTTTCTTAGTAGGTCCATGTATTTTTAAGACCAAGTTTATCCGTTTGTTGAGATTAGTGTGGTTGGAAATGTTCTTGCATTTTTTAAAGTAGCTAAAATATGCTGCACTAGAACAACTTGAAGTCGGTCTACCTGGTAACTTTAAAATAGCCTAGAGCAAACACGCTTGAGAGGCCAAATGCTGGCCTGGATGCTAAATGTGCTTTGTGAGTTGTTTAAATTGACAATATGGTCGCCCGTTCTAATTTTGGCCTTCTTTCTGATAAAAGTTGCACTGATATGAAACGTTTTCGACGCTTCTCATCACATTTGCTTTTTTGTCACGTCACATATATATGTCATGTGCAGTAGAATATGACGATAACTAAGGTTTTATCAAATCATGTTTTGCAT